GGGAAAAAGAAGAAAAAAAACGCCGAAAGGAAAGAGAATAGGCACTTAATGGTAGCAGCAATCATGATCGTGACAATAAGGAGTTAGGCGGCACTCTCCACTTTTTTCATATTAGGTAATCTAAGTTAGATTCTTAAATATAGAACTTTGTGAAAAGAAATGTACTCTATAAAGAGAATATATACTAGTTAAAATAAAAAGTATTGAATTGTCACAAATTGAAAAGGAATACTAAATTGTTATGATTTTTTTATAGGGGTCATCTAATGGAAGAATAAATCTATGAAGGTGTTTTTGTTTATGATGGGGTTCGGTTAATTATTGGTCAATTTATTGGAAAAAAAAATTATTTATAAATATAAAATATTTATTATGATTTTATATATTTAATTATTTTTTAAATATTAAAAACTCTTTTGATGATTTAAAATATATAAAACTTATATAATAGACATTATAATTTAAGAAATATTTTTAAAAATAATTTAAAAAACAAATAAATTAATTTCGACGGGCCGATTTGACGGACCTACTATATTCGGATATTTTCTACACATATGGTCAATTTCTCGACATATTTCACATCTTTTCTTTTCTTTCTCAAGATCGTCCATTTCGGTTCTAATTCTTGTACTATTTGGACGTCGTTTCTTATTCCCTTGCATTGTCTCGTCATGGCAAAGAGTGAATCTTTCATATGTTGGCTAATTTTTGTGGTGTGGAAGTCCAAGGAAGCTTTCGGTGTAGACTTTGAATACACTCAGAACCTTGAAAGCATCTATTATGTGCATGTTGTGGTCCTGTTGTATACTGGCACGTGCTGCGATTACATGGGAGCAAGGTAAATGAAATGCTTGAAACCTCCCACAATCGCACCACCCTCTCCTGAGATCAACGCTAAAAGTACCTAATGATCGGCCATCGTGTTGATTAATACTTTCGGCAACCATAAAATAGAATCTCTCGCGATCAAATTGGATGACATTATGGTTGCTAGATTTACTCGCTTCGTCGGCCATTCCCTTATTACAGTTTTCCGTGAAAGTTTGACCGGATGCCAACATTTTTGTCCAACCGTGTCCTCGTTTTCCAAACAGTGATCACAAACGATAGAACGTTGACTTGACCAATGCAGTAATAGGAAGATTTCGGGTAGCCTTAAGTACTGAATTCATAGCTTCAGCCAAATTTGTTGTTATGTGTCCCTACTGCTGTCCTCCGTCGAACGCCCTCGACCACTTCGTTTGAAGCCCAATTGGGATCTGTCGTCTGTAATAATTGGCAATGTTTCCAACTGTATAACAGTTCAAGGAAGATATGTCTTCATCACCAACAACCATTGTGGTAATTCATTGTAAGACGTCTCCCAATTCCCATAAAGTGGTTCTATGGCTTTAATCTTTGCAATCCAAGCTTTCTGATATGAGATTTTATAACCGTATTTTTTCAGTAATATGGGCTTGTATCAGTTTGGCTTTTAGTGAAGCGTCGCTGTTAACAAGTTCCCTGATGTTGTGGCTAATAACTTCATAATCTAAATTTCTATGATCCTGTGATATAGAAGTTGTTGTGCAAGTGTGGGATCCGCTTATAGTAGTGATCTCCCATAATGTGCTCTTTTTACGCAATGTAGCTCTACATGTGAACATGCATTGTGAATTCTTACATTTTATTATATACCTTACTGAATCATATTTATATACTGCATAGTCAAGATTATTACTTATATGCCAATGTTGCAAAAAAAAGAACACACGCTTCCTTATTTTCAAACACCAAACCTACTTTCAAATTGTCACCAATATGGTTTGGTTTGTCGTTTTCAAAAATATAGATGGGTTGAGAAGACTCCAGACATATGTTTGACATATGCACTGGTGGATTGTACAGATTAATGGGTTGAGCATTTATTACCTGCGAATGCACGGGGAAAACATCCTCTTCATCGCCATCATCGAATAGATCTTTAAAGCGAACATCATGGAGTCCATCGTCACTGCATTCACCAACCTCCTCGTTACGTATGAAAGGTTCATTATTGTGTTATTCCTTATCAATTGCTTGGCTCACTCCGTATTGATGCGAATATGATGACTGCGTTGGATATGCTTCGTCATTAAGGCGAACATATAACTCAATCGTCTTCAAATGAGGCATTGTGTAATGACATTGGAACATTGATTTGACTGAGTTGCATGTATCTATCTGCATCATTACGTAGAAGACACCACCATCTACCCATTAGGTAATGGTTGACGGTAAATAATTTCCTGAACTGAGCGTTGCACTTTTTTACGATTCGTTCTTTTAGATGAAGAATATCAGAACTACGATGAAGTTTGAACATCACTGTATTTGTTCCGTTGAATGAGAAACCGGTACTTTGATCAGTGAACATAGAACCATTATATTGCATGGTGACCATTGTATTTCTACCTGTCATAGCTTTGATACAGACAATGTGTGTAAGTTGGATGGTAGTCTACAAGACATGCATGCAAAATATATAGTGATACGGAACAGTATTGGTTCGTCCAACCAAATGATGAGTCCATGTTGAACACGTGTAGGGTCGTCCAACCAAATGACGGACCCTTGAGTGTAACGTGTAGGTTCGTCCAACTAAATGACGAGCCCTTTAAGTTAACGTGTAGGGTCGTCCAACCAAGTGACGAACCCTTGAAGCACGTGTGACTGCATGTCATTCCATTGGTCGAGCTGCATAGGGTGTAGTGTGAAGTCTTTTCTAGCCTTAATTCTTTCATGCAATCTATAGGGATGTAGAGGGAATCGTGTAGAGGGAATCATGCAGAGTCAATAATTTTAACTCATCTTTTTTTTCAACATATAATTGCATGGCTCAATAATTTCACTCATCTCGTTTTCTTATAAATAGCAACAAATTTTATTCATATGCATTGCAAAAACAACAAACTAATTCAATACTTCAACACCTTCATTACTTCATCAGTTATAAAATATTCTAAATGGCAATGTTGTGGATGGGAGAAAATCATCGGGGAACACCGACCAATGTTTTCGCCTATGTAATTTTTTTTCTTCATACTTGTGTTTTTTTTTTAATATTACATCATTACATTTTGTTATACAATTATTTTTAATATTACATCATTACGTTGTTTTTTTTTTCAATATTTGAAACAGTCCAACAACGAAAGATTTAGACTTCATTCTCATGCTATCGATGCACTAAGTGACGCAATCAAACCGTATTTGGGACAAGCAGGTTTTGCAAAAGTTGTAGAAATAACCACTATCAATGTTGATTCAAAGCTCGTACTTGCTATGGTAGAGAGGTGGAGACCAGAAACACATACTTTCCATCTTCCAACAGGTGAATGTACCATCACGTTGGAGGAAGTAAGTATATTATTAGGTCTCTGTGTAAATGGTAACACTGTGAATGGTCCTACTAAGGTAGGCAGTGAGGTATATATGGAAAATTTAGGTATCGAACCTTCGACATCCGATAAACATAAAGCATGTGTTAAAATTGTTTGGCTACAAACTATATTATCACAACTACGACAAAACGCATCGCCATCCAATGAGGAGAACCTTCTCCATGCAAAAATTTATATATTACTACTCATAGCAAAAGTATTGATGCCAGACAAGAGCCATAACTATTTAAATTCTTCTTGGATACCCCTAGTAGGAGATTTAGATAAATGCAATAGATATAGTTGGGATTCTGCTTGTTTAGCTACATTATATAGGCATATGTGTAAAGCATGTAGGGTAGGAGTAAAAAGTATTGGAGGATGTGTTCTCCTACTAAGTGTTTGGATATATTGGCATATACCACTAATTGCTCCAGAGAGTTCCGTCGATTCATACCATCCTTACACAACAAGGTAAAAATCATTTAAATTTTCTTTTCTTTTCTTTTATTTACATCCCTTTATTACATTTCTTTCTTTTAAAATTGCAAGATTTTTTCGAAGTGGTATGGCTTACCAAAATAATCCTCGGCACTACATCCGAGGATTTAGATTTGCACTAGATAGATTGAGGGCTAACGATGTAAGTTTGTTACTGCTACATTCTCTAAATATATGCTAACATCTGTATTTAAACTCTAACTATTATATTTTTTGTAACAGTTTATTTGGAGGCCCTACCCGAACTACCCAGAATGCGTCCTTGCAGATAGCCAGATTTGGAGCGTGACCACTTCAATTATCAATTTTCATATTGTTGAAATGCATCAAGCTGATAGGGTCAAATTGCAGTTTGGATTTCAACAAGATATCCTTCTCAGCCTAGATGTCTACGCGAACAGCATGAAACTGAAATGCCTAATACATGGGGAGATCATTAGCGCAATATAAATAGAGAAGAGAACAACGAGTGGAAAAATAGAAGGAAAAAAATGACCTTACAAGATAACATGGTTAACGGTAACTATGTTCATATTACTGCATATATGCTACGGTTTTTATCCTTTCCATTTATGCATGTTTCTCAAGGCCAATTCCTAGAAGACCCCCATCAATATGCATCGTCTTCATCACAGCAAAGATCCTCATTGTCCATGCCTCAGAAAATCCCCCAAATGAACCCTTCGTAATTTCAATCCCAGACATCTTCATTCCCCCATACCACATACCAACACCCCTAACCCACACAACTCCAACCAACATATCAACGCACTCATACCACATTCTTTTCCACCTCCTCTCAACAACCAATATCATACATCCCCAACCATGCAACCTAACTTCTACTACCACCAAGAATACCAGGAACAAACCACATTTCGACCATCCTTCCAATTCACTCCAATTCCTCGACCTAATTTTTATTTCTCTTACCCTCAATAACAACACCAAACATTTGACCCTTCACTCTCTCAACCCACTTCTACCGGTCTCACTGACGATGTTGATTACCCTCTCATCCAACAAAGCCCTCCAACCACCTTTAACCAACCATCTCAGTCAGTCCCTAACTATCTCTTAACTGATTAGTAGCTCATGGAATGGGCGGTTTTTTCCATTACTGATGTAGACATGGTCGATACATCACATCAACCTGAACATGTATGTGAAGATGAAGAGTTATCTTTCGGCTATACTCCATTACCTACAAGACAGCAACCCGAAGAGTTAGGCAGGGGAAAACACGTGAAAAAGAGTAAAATGTGTGGAACTGGCGGTCATTTACGTAGACAAAAATGATGTATCTTTTTCACTCATTGGTATTAATAAAATTGCTTCTATTTGTGATTTTGTTTAATAAGCAAATTATTTTAATTAATTAGATAATTAATTAAATGTTATGGAAAATATTTAATAACATTATAAAATTAATTAAATTATTTATTTATTAATATTTTAAATCATCAAAAGAGTTTTTAATATTTAAAAAAAATTAAATATATAAAATCATGATAAATATTTTATATTTATATTTAAAACAAAACAAAAAAGCTTTCAATGGGTCGGCCAATGGTTGGTCGAGCCCCTTCATGGGCGAAAGCACCTTCATAGGTTCGTCCCTCCATTGAACGACCCCTATAAGAAATCATGACAGTTTGGTACATTTTTTTCAACTTGTGGCAATTCGGTATTTTTTATTTCAACTAGTGGCATACATGTTAAAAAAATTAAATATATGAGCCATAGTACATCCTTCCTTTTTATTAAGATATTATATTTTTGTATACATCCTTCATTTCAAAAGGGGTCGTCTAGCTATATCACTTTCGGAGGAGGAATATCTTGCGGGGGACGAGGCCTACAAGCACAACCTTCAATGTCGGGTTCTCGGCACAAAGGGGCAACTCCGATGACAGTTGTGGCTTTGAGACACAAGCTTTCTCATGTATGGAACAATCTTGGTCATTGGGGAATAAATTCTCTTAAGAAATCTTTTACAAGCTTTCTTTCTTCTCACTCAAAGATGCGAAGAGGGTCATGTCCAATGATAGATAGAATCTTTCGCCGGGTACTATAAAGCTTTTTCCATGGTCCAAAGACTTCAACCCTAATCAACAAAGATCATCTAATTCCCAGGTTTAGATTCGTCTGTTTGGTCTGGCTCAAGAGTATTGGTGTCCTAACATTTTATTTTCAATTACGAGTATTGTTGGAACACCGGTTTATACTAATTTTGTTGCTTCCAAATCAATATTCGACTGCCCTTTTGGTCACTTCACTCGACTTCTGGTTGATGTTGATCTCGCTGGCCCTATGGTCTTCAATGTTTTGGTGAAAAGATTGGGTTTTGCTTTCTTTGTAGATATCGAATATGAAAATTTACCTTTGTTTTGTTATGCTTGCAAAGTTTTAGGTTATTTTGTGGAATTCTGCAAAAGATTCAATAAAAATGACAGTGTTGCTGCTAACAAGAACAAAGTTAGCCAAGAGAAAATTCATGTCCTAGTTCGTAAGGACAATACAATAGAAGCACAAGGTCTGGAAAAAGATCTGACACCAAATGTACATAGCTATAAGACTTGTGAGGGAAATTTGTCTCAATACTTGTTTTAATGATGTCAAAAAGTATTTAGTTAGTAGTTTGTATTTTGGACGGTATCATCGAGTCGCATATGCATTCGTAGTTATCTCATGCACAATAATTTCTCAAAAACATGTGTCTATTCATATAGAAAAGCATTATATGTGTTTTGTGTGGGTTTGATCATGTTGATAGACTTAGATATGCATTAGAAGTGCTTAGATATAGCAAGACATGTAAAAAAAAGCATTTTTGGAAGTTCTGAGCATTTGAGTCGACTGAAAGCTCTGCTTAGGTCGACTCATACATAGTGAATTTTGAGGATTTTCTTTCAGGAGTGCTCACGTCGACCCTCCGGTCGACTTATACTGTTAGCATTTCTATTTGTCAATTCTGGGCATGTTTGCATCGATGCATGGACCTGTTCCGGTCGACTCATAGAGTTAATTTCTGCATAATTTTGAAAGTGGAAGTGCTCAGGTCGACCCTCATTTTCTTTAGGTCGACAATTTGCTCGTGTCACTCTATTTTTCTGTTGTGTTTAAATTTCAAATGGTTGTTATGTTTGTTACTTAGTTATAGGTTGACATATATATTGTTTTTGGCTCATTATTCATAACAACAACAAGAAAAGTGAAAATTGACAACGATTTTTCTCTCATCATCTTCATCCCCTTTCTTGCATTTTCTCAATAATTACACATAATCATTTTTGTTGATCATTCTGCATCATTGAGGTGATAACCTCCAAACATAGGATATTTGTATCGGGTTTGGGTTGAGAGATTGGTGGATTTTTCTTGAATAAAATCGTTAGGGTTGTCCTCCAAGAATCTTGGGATTTTGGGGGATTTTTGCACAAATTATTTCTCATAGATTCAGTCGAGCAAAGGTGATTGAAGAACGAGTGGTTTTGTCAATCTAGTAGCGTAACTGGAGGATTGTGGAAGGAAGATTTGGGTTCGAATTATATGTGTGATTGAAATCAGTCGGGTTAAATATTTGAAGACCGTTGGGTGGTTCAAACGTGTAGCTGGAATCGGAGGTTTATTTAACACATTTGAGGCACTTGATTCATCTTGAATCAAGGGGAGAAAAGACATAGTTTCAACATCAACAACTAGGCTTGAGTGTTTGATTACTATTGCTTCTCTTGTACAAACAATTTTCAACAGGTTTATACAGGTCTCAATTCTATTTTTAGAATTGAGGGCAGACGTACCTCGAGCGAGGACGACGAGGGAACTGCCTCAACAAATTTGGTGTTGTTCTCTCTTTTGCTATTTTTCCATTTTTGAATTTTAACGTTTGTGTACAATCAAATTGCTTGATTAAAATTCTAGTATAGTGTAGTGCTGAAAAGTATTTGGAAAACTCATTACAATCCATTTGATTGCAATTGGAAAAGTTTAGCACTACCATTACTTAGTGAATTTCACTTGGAGTGCTTCGCACACCAAGTGTTCGACAAATTTCTTGAACACAAACCATTTGGGCTGTTTTTCAACTTGATTTTATTTTTCACAAAGCATTGGAAATTGAACAACTTTGAGTGAATAAAATTGTATTGATTTATGTTCAAACTTTTTATTCGGTTTCTCATCGGAATCGATATTCCATCTAGGCTTATCGCATATCTGATTTTTTCGTTAACGGTTCGTTTAGACGATCTTAGTTCCTCGGCCGCTTCCGTTTAAAAGTTTTAAAAACCAATTTATCATAAGCATCGACTCTTTACAAGAATTAGTGATTTATTCAACCCCTCTTCTAGATCATTGTTGTCATCTAATAAGTGGTATCAAAAGCACTTGTTCATTACGTGTTTCACATATAACTTCTTAGAATATGGCAAACAAACCAAAAAGGGCTTACAATAGAGCACCAGTTTTTAACGGTGAGAACTATAGTTACTAGAAAGATTGTATACGTGTGCATATCAATTCCATTGATAGAAAGGTATGGAACGTTATATTAAACGGTCCTATGGAAATTACCATGACCGATGAAAATAACGTTGTTGTGCCTAAGTCTGAAGGGCAATGGAATAATGAAGATGAGAAAAAGTACAACTACGATTGGAAGGCTAGAAATATTATGATCTCCTCTTTGGGAGTTGATGAGTATTATAGAATTTCACATTGTACGACTACTAAAGCTATGTGGGACGCATTGCAAGTTGCCCATGAGGGAACTGATAATGTCAAACTAGCTTGAATCAACACTTTGACTCAAGAGTTTGATCTCTTTCACATGTAGAAAAGGAAAACCATTGTTGACATACAAAAGATATTTTATCATTTAATCAATCGACTAAATTCACTTGGTATACCAATTTCCAATGGCGTTGCTACTAACAAAGTTTTAAGGTGTCTTGCCAGGGAGTGGAAACCAAAGGTCACGGACATAAAGGAAGTCAATGACATCATGACTTTGGACCTTACAACTCATATTTGGAAAGCTCCAAGAACATGATCAAGTTCTCAGTAGTCTTGATCAATTTGAGAAAAAGGAAAATAAATAAAAGACCAAAAATATAGAAAAGAAGTCAATAGCTCTAAAGGCTTCTTGTTCAAAGTCCTTCGCAAAAGAGCTAAGTGATAATGAATCGAGTGATGACGATGATGAAGAAACGAATGAGGATATGGGGTTGTTCATGAGGTGATACAATCGCTATGTAAATAAAAATGATATTCAACATTCCGAAAAGAATTTCGTCAATTTTAGAAGACAAACAAGGTCTTCCAAGAATGAAGGCAACAAGGGTAGTAGAATAAAAGGATCGTGCTATAACTGTGGAAAAGTCGGGCACTACAAGTCGGATTATCCATTGATGAAGATGGACAAAGGGAAGGAAATTAATCATTCATAAAAGAAACAAGGTAAGCCTAGAAGAGCTTACATCGCTTGGGAAAGCGATAGTGAGTCATCTAAGGATGATAGTTCAAGTGACGAGGAAGATTTTGTTAACCTTTGCCTCTCGGCTCATCAAAAGAAGAAGAATAAAAAGGTACGACATGCTAAATACGATAACTCTAGTAAACTGTCTCATTCTGAATTACAACATACCTTTGACACTTTACAACATGAGGCTAAGGAAGCCTTTAAACGTTTGGCATCTAACAAACAAATTTTTACTCACTTAGAGAAAAATATCTTCGAGTCCAAAAGGGAATTGGAGGCTCTCAAAGCGTCCATGGTGGAAGCAACAAAGGTAAATATTGAGGAAGAAAAGAGTAGATGGTTAAATTAGGGTTATGATACTTGTCATATTTGGCAAAAAGAGGTTAGAACTCTTAAAGCCAAACTTGACAAGGCTCTAGAACCAAAGATCACTTTTGCTATTGATAGATCACACTTTAGAAAAAGCATGATTAATCCTTATCAAAAATATATGTATGTGATCAAAGATCAAGTTAACAAAAGTGATACCAATGTTAACCTTACTTTCTTGTATTGTTGCAAAAGGGGTCATACCATTGATAAATGTCTCTTTAGGAGGTTTTTAGTTCCTAAAGGGTTTTATCAATGGTTTCCCAAATGCAACCAAGATTTCACTCACAACGAAGGACCCGGTAAAAAATTGGGTACCTATTTCCCTTGATTATTTGTGTAGGTACATAGTCTTGAGTCTACGGAGGGAAGATGGGTTCTCGATAGTGGGTGCTCAAGACATATAATGAGAGACATATCTCTACTCATTGACTTTGTGGCAAAGAAG